CATTCTCATTCAAACCACCCCACTCTTATGCAGATCAATAATGATAAAAGCAGGTGAAGCAAAATTAAATAAAATAAAAATGTATGTTTTCAAGAGAAAAACTGCATGGAATGTGTTGACTTTAAATGAGAATGGTCCCCATAGGGATTTGAATACTCAGTCACCAGTAACTGGTGCTGTTTAGGAAGGGTGGTTTTTTTCCTTATTGGAGAAAGTATGTCACTGGAAGCCACGCCTCCTAATCCTTCCCATCTGTCATCATGGATATCCTTGTCATTGTCATACCAAATAATCTTTGTCTTCTATATGTTGCCTCATTCATGGTGTTTTATCACAGCAATAGAAAGTAACCAATACAACTGCTTTCACTAAAGACGACAAACATGAGGAGAATTTTTTTTTTTTGATAATTTGTGCGTTAGGGTGACATCACTGACACACAACCTCATATGTTGGAAGCTGACACTTTATTCCCCATGAGAAAGGGATAAGTGACAACACTATGTGTGTTTCAATTTTTGTCCTCTTCAAACTATTGATTCAATCCTGTTAAGATGTTGTAAAAGTCAGCTGTGCAGGTTGTAACTGGAATTAACAAAAAATAATATATGAAACTAAAATAAAATTCCATGAAGGGCACAGCACTTGAGAAGCCGAGGCAGTTGCATTTCTGAGTTTGAGGCCAGCCTGGTCTACAGAGTGAGTTCCAGGACAGCCAGGGCTACATAGAGAAATCCTGTCTTGAAAAAATAAAAATAGGTAAGTAAATAATATGTAAATGAATACATAGAATTCGCCATGTGGATATTTGGAGTTGAACACAGGTCTTCTGGAAGAGCAACTAATACTTTTAACAGATAAGAAGTCCCACTAGCCCTCACTCTCTGGAAGTTTGTTGCACATTTAATCACTGTTATACACTGTATTCTAAAAGCTTTCATCTGAGGCACTGGTCCTCTGCAACCTCAAATCAAAGCCTGTCTCCAGTGACACACCTCCTAGCAAGTGGCCACGCCTCCTAATCCTTCCCAAACAGTCCCACCAACTGGGAGACCAAGTATTTAAACATATGAGCCTATGAAGGACATTCTCATTCAAACCACCCCACTCTTATGCAGATCAATAATGATAAAAGCAGGTGAAGCAAAATTAAATAAAATAAAAATGTATGTTTTCAAGAGAAAAACTGCATGGAATGTGTTGACTTTAAATGAGAATGGTCCCCATAGGGATTTGAATACTCAGTCACCAGTAACTGGTGCTGTTTAGGAAGGGTGGTTTTTTTCCTTATTGGAGAAAGTATGTCACTGGAAGCCACGCCTCCTAATCCTTCCCATCTGTCATCATGGATATCCTTGTCATTGTCATACCACATTTAATCACTGTTATACACTGTATTCTAAAAGCTTTCATCTGACACATTACTGCAACAACAATCTGTACACTTCTCTACCTTTTATTGCTTTTCTAAAAAGCTAGATGTACCTATGTAACCCAATGAGAAATCTTTTGTGCAGAAGGACTTGGCAAAGGAAATGTATTAACTAGAACAGTTTGGTAATACTTTAAGAAAATACTCTGATTTACAATCAACTCTCAAATCAAAAACACACACTAATAAATGAGTTGCTATGTTAAAGCACATGAATTATTTGAACTTTATCTTTTTTTTTCTTGTGCTTCCTGTTGCCTTGCAATTCAATTGTAGACCTGGCTGGCCTCAGACTGAGATTCACCTGCCTCTGCATCCTGAGTGCTGAATTACAACATCAGCCAGAATAAAGCATGCTTATCCTTCGTATCTCACATTAAATCTTACAATAAATGTTAACAAATGGAAGCATTGTCTACCAAGTTTCCCTTCCAATTTATGGCAATAGTCAATCCAGCAAAATTTCAGAATAAAAGGATTACCTTTGTGGCTTTTATTTGCTTAGTTGACTTGTTTCCTTTCCACATACACTTATCCTTTAATTGGAACAATGTATGTACATAAGATGTTATGTCTAGACCTAAGATCATTTGCTGAACACTGAAGTACTGAAAGCAATGCCCACCTCACAGAATGCCCTGAACTCACAGAAATCTGCCTGCCTCTGCCTCCCGAGTGCTGGGATTAAAGGCATGTGCCACAAATGTCTCTTTTCTTTTGTTGTGCACTAGCTCTTAATCATTAAGCCTTGCCTGGCAGTGTTGGCACACACCTTTAATCACAGCACTCAGGAGGCAGAGGCAGGGGGGGGTC